CATGGCTACATAAAGCCAACATCTGCTTCAAGTGTTGGGCATCTAATAAAGTTGGTGTCAACAACTTAGTCCACAATTTCTTAAGAACTAAGTTGTGTGTGTGTGGGAGGGGGGGGGGGCATTTGTTCATACCAAAATAATTTTCATTAATTATTTCTTATATGAACAGCTTGGCCAATTTAAGTAGATGGTCCATGTGTACATGGATGATCCAATTTATCAAGTTTGGGTCGTAGGATTAAAGGATGGTAGTGTCCAATAACATGAATACCATCCATATCCAATAATGGATGGTAGTATCCAATAACATAGATATCATCCAAATCCCATTATGGATGGTAGTGTCCAATAACATTGAGACCATCCAAATCCAATAATGGATGGTAATGTCCACATCATGGCTACCATCCAAATCTCATTATGGATAGTAGTGTCCAATGTTATGTACACCATCCAAACCCTATAATGGACACCATCCAAACTCAAAGTGGATGGTGTCATCCAACAACATGGATACCATCCAAATTATTTGGTGTATGGTGACCATCTAATTATTCATACATGGTACGTAGGGTTGATTGTTCAGGGACATGATGACGTGTCGAAGGTGGTTACCAGAAGCAACAGCTGACTTGCAAAGGACGCTCAGAGGATTTACTAGATGCTACGTGGAGCTGATTTTCGGGAAGAGAGAGAAGGCGGTTAGAGGGTGAGACACAACAGAACTTGCAGCAGGGCTTTGGAGGAAGGACAGACAAATCAAATCACAAACCGTCTCGTCAAAATTTATCTTTTCTCTTTAGAACAGTAACCATAGCAGTAGCAGCAGGGACCCTCCAATGAGGCTTCTCTGTTTGTGGTAGTCAGTAGTTGCGGAGCTCTCAAGGAATCTCCATAGGTGTAGAGGTAAAAGTAGCCCGATCCTTAGATGTATGCATCGAACATCCTCGTTCGAACATTTTTTGAAGAGGTGTGAACCGAGTAACATCTTTTATGTTTTCTTGAAGTCAGGGTGCATTGATCACGCAAAATTCCACCTGAAACACGTACCAAGAGAAGTGGATCTCTGTCTTCAAGCTCTTCAATCCGCTTCCAAGCCGAGGGTTGCACATCTCCAAAACACCTAGGTCAACAAGGTGAAGCAAGGAGAAGACAAGCTGAAACCATATAATTTCAACCTCCTTTACCACTTAGCACTGATCATCTCCAGATCTGAGTAATCAGAACGGAGGGCAATTACAATCCCACTAAAGGGATGAAAAGGAACCCACAAGGGGTTGGAATCTGTGAAAAGATAGAGAAAAAATCCACCAGGAGTATGGAAAAGCAACAAAGATAAAAGGAAGAAGAAAAACAAAGGAAAGCAAACCAGAGAGAGGGAAAGAGAGAATGCGAAATAGAAGGGAACACTAGTAGCGGAGGGCTGTCGCAAGAGAGACGCCAGCAGCAACCCCCATGGCGGCCAAAAGATTATTAATTCAAGAGAGAAGGTAAGCATGAACTTTAGAGAAAGAAGAGGATATGGAGCAAGTTATGTTGAGCTTCAACTCTATACTTCAGGATTCGGCGACATATCCAAGTGCTTGCAGGTTGCAGAAGAGGTAGAGAGATTTCATATTGAACGACCATGCAACTTGTATTTAGTAACGCAAGCAACCCATAATGATCCATTGATCCTGCTTCTGTCAACAAACTCAACATATTACGAGTAATGCACGCTCTATCCCATTTTTAAAGTCTTGAAAATATAAAACTACTAACATTTTTGGTTCAATATCCGGTTCTAGTTCCATTAGGAAAACATAGCTTTTTGGCGTGTCAGCATATGCAACAACATATTGACAATAACTTCACACTACACATTAAAACATTACTATAGCCCCATAACATGCCTCTAACTCCCATTAAAACATTACTATATTTTTTTCCAGAAATACCACTAAAAAGAAAAAATCCAAAAATACCACTCATTTTTGAAATTTTACAAAAATACCACCATTTCTCAAAAACTGTCTGGGGGCGCGGCTTTCGATGTAAACCACATGGGTGGGGGCGGTTTGGTCCAAAACCGCTGCCCCGCCCAGCGGTTTGGTTCAGAATTTATTTTTTCGATAAATCGTAACCTAGGTGAAAACTTCAAACTAACGTATCTTTGTGCTCGGGTATACGATCGTAACGAATTTTTTTTATTCCGTATAACTTTTCGAGATCTTGCAAGCAACAAAAATCAGTTATGTGGAATAAAAAAAATTGATTTATCAAAGAGATTTATATCTCTCGATAATCAAAGAGATTTATATTTGATTTATGAGAATTTTTTCCTCCAACTATATTCTTTCTTTTTTATTATTATTTACCCCACCATTTACTCTTATCAGTACATTCTTAATATTCGGTTAACTACTATGAATATTTTTGTTAAAAGTAAACATGTAATTTAATTAAAATTTTCAATTTCATTTTTTATTTAATATTTAACAAGGGCACTTAAAAGTAAACATGTCATTTAATAAAAAATTGCAATTTACTCGTTTGGTAGAAGAAAATTTGAATGAAGTAATTTGACCTTAGAAATTCTGAATTGACTCGTTTTGATGCAATTACAATTGTCTAGGGTGATGACAAGTAATTCGAATTGATTTATTTTAAATAACTCATTTTGTAAAACGAGACAATTGGCTAAATCGTCTCGTTTTGCAATTGAAATGATATTCATAATCCAAATGAATCCAGAAATGACCATGGTAATGCTAGCTATTTCCATCCACAAAAACAAAAGTGGGTGATAAGTACAGAGTTTTGTGGATAATATTAAAAGATATGGAGGCAGATTTTAGAATGAGAATCTGCATCCAATCACATTCACATATCTCTCTCTTTCGCTTTGTTGACTGACTCACTGTGGGTAAACTTGAACCGGACAAATAACAACCGAACAAAAATCGAACTATCCGTCGACTTATTATCAATTATCGTCACCGGCCGTAAAAGAAAAGGCAACACCAATAAGGACAATACGTGGACACCTCAACCAACCAACCAACCAAACCAAACCCAAATGAGCCTACAAAGTCAAGTGGGCAGATCTTTTTAAAGAAGAACCAAATGGCAGGTGACCAAGTGGGTAGGTCGTTTCGTTTGTGCAGTTCAACAAATCAAATGTACCGAACGCAAAACCAGCCACCCAACCCAACCACTCCCAGTCCCAGATATTGATTTGATTTGAACCCCATCCTTACAAATACACTTGATGGCTCCCCATCCATCACACAACCTTAACGCAAAAGGACAGCTTGATTCCCCTCCTTTTCTTGTTCAGATTTTTCAGGAAGAAAAAAAAAAAGGAATTTCGAATATGAATTTGATCTTTATCAAGTATATTAAAGCTGCATACAAAATGGAAACGAGCTCATAATTGATTTGATTTTTTGAAAAAAGAATTCTAAAAACACGAAGGGTATTACTTCAAGGATCTTGTGTTTCAACGTAGCATGTACTGCTAGTTGAATGGATGTTGACTGTGGTAACATGAATCTCAAGCGGATCATTGTTGTGGTAAAAACGATTTAAATTGAGATAATTGTTTGATTTAGGTTGGATGTTGGAAGTGAGGTGGGGTGACTCGAAAAGGCAAGTTGGTATTGAAGTTCTCTGTTCAGTTGATTCGCGAATTTACATATATTCGTTGTTCGTAAGTCAAAAGGACGTGTTAGGGGATGCATTGCATTGCCCTTAATCAATGCAGTTAAAATCGCGCTTTAAAACTTAAAAACTTACGATTTTACGCTTTTGGGTCACCAAAACGCTTTCGTTTCCATATAAAAACTTAAGTGTATAAAATCGGACTAAATTGCGCTTTAAAACTTAAAAACTTACGGTTTTACGGTTCTAGTTCACCAAAACGCTTTACGTTTTTACGCTTTTAGTTCGCTACATGAGTATTCTTTTCATGAAATTAATTATAAAAAGTATATTTTTAAAGTAAATCACTAACAATATGATACATTTGAGATTAAAAGATACATACTAGGTACTTGGATGCATTCTACTTCAATAGAGTAATCTAATTCACCAACTAGGGTTTTCCCAAATTCATTAGCATAGAGGGAAAAGTGGCTTATCGTTAAAATTTATGTTTACGAACTTATTATTAAGATGCTATAAGTTGCTCTACTTTAAACATGAATCACATGTATTTATTAACTTATCTAAATTCTGTGCATTCATATTTTGCATAGCATATGTCCTACTTAATAGATTTTTAGTTATTTTTCAGTATGCGTCAAAAACTTACGCTTTTACGCTTTGATTCTACGTTTTACGATTTTACCCCTTTTCCGCTTCTAGGTAGAATCACGCTTTTGACTGCATTGCCCTTAATTGCTTTTTTGCTTGGTTGGTTAATTATCTTGGGTAAGCTAGTCAAGTTGGATAAGATGGTCACTTTAGATTTGTATATTTTTGGTAATTCTAGTGTGAAACCATAGACAGATTTGTCCTTTGACTGCCCAATTTACAAGATGTATTGTCTACGAAAGCTTTCAGAAAGATTGTCAAGAGTTGGTCATTCCGACGACAAATGGAGTACATTAAAGAACATAGTTTGTATTTTTACTTGCATAAATGACGCATCAATATTTGCATGAGTAATGATAAAATAGTGCGTGAATGTTGGCTGTTTGACATGAAGAAGTACGTCGTTTCAAGTTTGTCTCGAAATATGTTTCATTGGACTATACTTATTATTGTTATTAACGGTCAAATGAAAAATGACATTGATCAATAGATCGACGACTCAATTTAGTCAGCCTTATCTTTTGAAGAATTTTTTTTATAGAATTTGGTAATTCAAGATTTAGTAGTAAAATTTAGGTAAAATTATGATAATAAACTTTTGGGAAGAAAATAATTTGTGGTATACGCAATTGGATTGGGTTACCTAAAAAACAAACCCCGTCTTCTTTCTTCTATATCCGCCGGCTTATCGCGCTGCGTTTTGTCAGAAGCAACAGTGGGGTTTTGCATTTTTTCCAGTTGGGGCAATCTGAGAAAGAGTCCATTTAAAAGGACTTCCGTCAGGAGAAAGGAAGCTCTAAACTGCCATTAGGAGCGTCAGCATTCAGCAAGCGAATCCCCTCCTGTCTTCCTCCTTCCCTACATCTCCTCTCTTCTCTCTCTCTCTCTCTCTCTCTCTCTCTCTCTCTCTCTCTCTCTCTGTTTTCCCATGGCGGTTGACCTTCGCAATTCCTCAGATTCATTCTTCGCCCAACAACTCGACTGGTCGTCTCCTTCTCTTCCCCATGTCTCCTCTGCCAGCAGCACCGCTTCCCTCTGCTCCCCGCTCGAGTCCGAGCTCGGCTCCACCGGGTCGGAGACGACGGAGAGCGACCACGACGCCGGCGACGATTACATTGTTGAGTTGACCCGGCAGATGGCTGACTCCATGTTCAGTGAGTTTGACGATCTTATGAGTACCATCCACCCCGCCAAGGTAATTCCACTACTCCTGCATACATACTTGGGACAACCCCACTTCTGCTTTCTGATCCGCTCTCATATATCTTCCTTGGGGTGCTCTGTTTTTGGTTCAGAATTCGATTCAGGAGGAGGCGGATAAGTTGGAGAAACAGGGGAATTTTAAGGGACCAGTTGAGCAGGAGTCCAACACTAATGTTAATGTTAATGGTGTGTTCATTGACAGCAGCCCTGTTTCAGAGCTGCAGAAGAAGCAGGCGCTGATTGATGAGCAAATACGCTCTGTTCAGGTGAGAATTCCGGATTACATAACATACCGATCCCTCCTCCAATTTTCATCAAGAAGCACTTTTTCTTGTTTAATTTTCATCTTATAAACAATGGAACTGCTCTGTTTAATTCAATCCGCAGCTCCAGAGGCTGAAGCAGGACCAAACAACAAGGAAGCCGAAACAGCAGCAGCAGCAGCAGGGGAAAGGAAGCAGGGGAAATCGCAGCAAGAACAGAGCTTTGGCAAATGAGGCAGCCAACAAGGGACAAAATCCCTCCTCGTGGACGACCCCACCACAGCAGCCGAGGCCGGCGGTGACGAGGGCGGTTTTCCTCGGCGATCCCGGTAGAGTCGGGTCGGCCGGCACCGGCGTGTTCTTGCCTAGAGGAACCGGGAACCCTACTAATCCCGCCGAATCACGCAAGAAGCCAGGTAAACAAATTAACTAAATTAAAAGACCGAGTATATTTTGATTAATTGTTGAGCGGGCGGTGGTTGGAATCTGAAAGGGGAAAGGAGCGGCTGAATAATTATTTAATTTAATTTAGTTGCTTTGTTTTGCCTTTCCCTTCGTTGCTTCGCCAACATTCTTTCTTCTTTTTTGAATAATTAGATTAGATAACTAAATAATAATAATAATTTAATTTCCCAACCGACGAAGACTATGTGAACTGAATCTCGATCTGAATATATTCTTTTTATTTTTGGCTAACTCAGCAGGATATTCTACGGTGTTGATGCCGGCAAGAGTTGTTCAAGCTCTGAAGCTCCACTTCGACAAAATGGCAGCTGGCACCGCCGCATCACCGCTAGATCCGCCTCCTGCCGCCGCCTTGCCACTCCCACCACATGGTGTGTACGCGTTACCGCACCGAAAGGAATCTTTATTTAATTTAATTCTTTTCTTTTTTGGTTATATATGTTTTAATGAAATACATACATAATTAATTAGCACCGTAATTTGTAGATGCAGTGACGGGAGATGTGAGGTACGCGTTCCTATTGCAACAGAAAAGTCAACCAGCATCGGCGAAGCAGTCAAAGAATAACCAGCATCGACATAAGCACTATCAAGATGTGGGGCTGCCTCAAGAATGGACGTATTGATTAGGGCTTTTGCTTCAGCCGACGGAAACCAAAAAAGAAGAAAAATATTATGCAGAAACAGAAGATGACTGATAGACTGACGTTTCGTCAGGAATAAACAGCAGGCAGCTGAAATGGAATCTGGTAGGGGCGGACGATTAGCATGTAGCGGGGAAGGGATTGGTTTTATTTTTATTTTTTATTATTGTTATGGCTTTGGAAAGATGGAATAGGTCGGCGACCGGCCGGAGTGATCAAAAGATGAAGGCCGGCCGGCCGGGTTTGATTGTCGTTCTCTCGCTGCCTAGTATTATTATGTGTTGGTTTTAGGGGTGTCTGATTATCATTGTTTTAAGTCCTTCTGTAATAAAGATTCGCAGCCATGTGTATGCGAGCATGACTATGCTCCCAATAATGTTCTCCATTAATGCCTACTTTGTTGCGGGATAATCAATAAAAGCAAAACCCACTTCATTTTATATTTCTTTAAGAGGATAGATCCTCGGCTCGGAGTGCATACCTCATAATCCAATTCATGTCTAAACAATCTTAACATCCAATTGTATACTAAAGAAATAAAATTCAATTACAATTTGCTTATATTTTTTGAATTTCTGAAATATAATTCAATTTAAAATCAATACTTGTAATCTAATTCTGAATAAAAGTTGTATGAAACTATGAAAGAATACGACATATAGGGATGACAATTTCGACTGAACCGATTTACCCGACCTGTTTTGGGGCGGGGCGGGGCGGGAATGGGTACCTCTCATCAACCCGACCTGTCCTGACCCGCCCCATTCTCGACTCGTTCTTGTCTAAATTACATGTAAATGACTTAGGATTTTCCTCTTATTACAACATATTTTAGGTATAATAAAGTTGTAAATAAGTGGAAAACTCAATTTCTCCAATAATTTAATTACATTTTATCAAATTATGTTATTTTTCTTGGTCTTTTAATTAAAATAACGAATAATTCTAATGTTTTTCGCATAACGTATATATCCAATCGATCGACCTGGCCCGACCCGCGCCCCATAATAAATTACCCGACCTGTACCTAACCTGCCACGGGACTGGTATGAATATCGAGATACCCACCCCGGAACTGCCCATTGCCATTCCTAACGACATAAAGACACCCATATCCTTTTATTTTAGCCGCTCACCACTTCATGAAAGTCTAATCCAAAAGGACACGGGCCGGCCGGCTCTGCCGACATTCGCCGGCAAACGGGGTTTCCAATAATAAGTTTCAAAGAAAAATAATGAATCAATGAGCTCCAAAGTCCAAATAAAAAGACCCCCTCAACTCATCACAAAATAGTTGAAATTAATTCGTCAGCTTCTGAACAAGTCCCCTTTTTCTCTTGATTTTTTCTTCTTCTTGAGTTTACAGAGAACTAAATTACATGAACAATAAATATTTTTTATTCTACGTAAAAAAATCAAAATCAAGAAAGGATAAGCAATAATGACGAATAAACTCCCATTGAGCGTATTTTGAAACATCAAACAAAGAAGATTAATAAGTGAATAGTCCGGCGATGACGTTGATGAAAGGATTTGGGGCAGGGATGGCAATGGGTCGAGTTGGGTCGGGTTTTGCCAAACCCAAACCCAAACCCATGGGTTTATCTTTGAAAAAAATCCGGGGTAAAACCCACTGGGGGTGAAAAACTCAAACCCAACCCAACCCGTTGGGTATCCGCGGGTTCATGGGTACTGTCACAGACCAACTCTTGGCCGTGCGGCACTTAGCACTCAAGTCTCGTTAGAGCGCTAAGTCAGCCTTGCTCGTATTCACTCAAACTCACAAGTATGGAGAAATGCTCTAGAGATGGAAACTCTCAATTTCTGGATGAATAAAAAATGAGGGAGAGAGATGCTTATATAGGCATCCTCTCCACTAAGTACAATGCATGTAGGCCATCATTAATGAATGAACCTAGATAGTCCCCTCATACATGAACTAGCCTCATACATGAATGATACTTAATAATGTGAATGTATGTTCACCCATACATGAATCGTAATAAATAGGGAGGATGCATGTGCGCTAGTGCATGAATCTAGAGATACATGCACGCACCTACATCCTTCTAGAGTCTTCTAGAATTTCCTCCGTGACAGTACCCACGGGTTTTGTCGTAAAAAATTTACAATTACAAGTTCTTATCAAAATTAAAGTCAAATATCAATCTCTCAATACAAATTATCCATATATAAAACATCGTTCTAGAAAATTCAAGCAAATCACAAATTAACTATACAAATTGTTCAACACCAATCTAGAAAACTCAAGAAAGTTGAAGCAAATCACAAATTATCCATAGATAACATATTTAATTGAAAGCTTCTTCCTTTCAATTAAGTTTCTTTACTCTCCACTCCATAACATTAACTTCATTCTACACAATTAAAAAGAAAAAATTAGACATGTCTCCACAAACATAAATAAGATTAGTTGTTTAGAATATTAAATATACCCAAAAAAAGTAATTATATGGGTGGGCGGGTACCCACGGGCCGGGTTTACCTAAACCCAAACCCAACCCAACCCGGTGAATAGTGAACGGGTTTAAACCCAAACCCGGCCCAAAACCCGTCAACACGGATTTTACCCGCGTTGACCGGGTTGGGTCGGGTGGGTACCCGTGAGTTCGGGTTTTGTTGCCATCCCTAATTTGGGGATCTTTCTGGTAGAAATTCTGAAAAATAATTCCCGCCATACGATGGTGAATTGGAAAAAACAGCTCGACGCGTAAAATAAAAAAAGCCGAAGAATTTGGAGAGTGAACATAAATGAAATCTTTTAGATTCTAAAATTATTGTGTTGTTTTATTTTATTTTATAAATCTTATTGGGCCGTTGTTATCAACAAAAGAAATTACTGTGCCGTTAATGTTGCGTTTCTTAGTATCGCACATGGTTAAGGGTGTATTTTTTGATTGGGAGTCTAGGGTGTGTTCCGATAGAAGGATTTGGATTTGGATTTCTAAATGTTAAATTATGTGTTTGGATATTCATTAGATTTGGTATTTGAATTTGTGTCAAATTCATAAGTTGATTTCCAAATACATGTCTAGTAGTGTATTACATGTCAACTTCAAATATTTTAAAAAATGATGGCAGTGGTTGAAAGGGGACATTAGGAAGGCTTTTCAGGACTTCTACGCAATGCAGTCAAAAGCGCGATTTTACCTAGAAGCGGAAAATGGGTAAAATCGTAAAGCGTAGAATCAAAGCATAAAAGCGTAATTTTTTTTATCCATCTTGTAATATAGCTAAAATGTGTTTTGTACGAGATGTACTATTTAAACTGTGAGTGTAAAATTTTTAGAAAATTTCACAAATACCTGTAGTTCATGTTTAAAATATAATTTCTCACACATAAACTAATTTATATTAATTTTAAAGTAGAACAAACTCTTAACATCTTAACAATAAGTTCATAAACATAGATCGCAACTCACAAATGAGTTAAAGAATCCAAATTCTCACAATAATCCAAGTTCTTGAAATTAAATCACATAAATGTTACAAAAGATAGAAATAAAACTACATTAATTTATTGGCTTCAACATTTGCCTCCAACCGGGGTCTTGGCGATTTCGTTGTGCATTTCTTCTCTTTGCTTTAGAACTGGATACATACATTATAAGTTATCTCAATAACCTATCACTACTTCTCTAACCCGTATGAAACAAACATGAAAAATAGTCAAACAACAAACTGGTATGCATGTACTCCATAAAAATCACTTATGAATGTAGTATCATGTCGCAGAGGGCCAAGTATACGAAGTGACTCCACAAATAGGGTGATGCGCTAGTTGATAACGTCGGTTTCTTCTAGACAGCTCGATTCCACGAACTGACTAAGAAGGACATAAGAGTTTCAAGAATGAACACTCAAATAAGGTTTTTTCATTGATCCAAAGTTGTTCAGCCCGTAGGCATACACCCTCTATTTATAGAGGTTTACAAAATTAAGAAGGAAACAAATGTCCAAAAGATTCTAACCAATTTTTTTAATGCTAATAGAAGATTCTTAGCCACTAATTATTCCCTTTTCATGTTTGGCCAACTTGGGCATCAAGAATGTCCTTCTTTCTCCCCTTTCCTTCGCCTTTCCTTCTCATCTTGGACATGGATTACATTGACCTCTTGGTCAGCTCCAACTCCAATGTTGAGCATCTCTTGGTCAATTGGAATCTTCTCTTTGCCTTCTCGAGCCTCTAAAGCCTTTATCTTCGGACCACGATCGTTGTATATTCCTCGAACTCGAGGGATGTCTTGTGAGTTGATCCGGGTTGCATCATTCCCCACCTCTTCAAAAAGATTTGTCGTCAAATCTTGTTGCTGCATATAGACTCCATTATAGTCCATCGCCCTTGATCTGGAACATCCACCAAGAAAGAACAAACATTCTCCACAATCCCACGGAATCAAGAGCTCAAACAACCGATCAAACATGGGCTCCAGATCATGATTTTCAAAGCTCAAGTCAGCATGAATGTTTCCGTGAAGCCTCCAACGAGGTTTCCAAACATAATGGGTTGCTCCAACAGCATCCAATCTTGTAGTTCCTCGTCCAAAATCTCCATCCCTCACTCTACTCAAGCCACTGCCATCTGCCTTTTTGCCATCAAAACAATCAGTCGTCCAAAGCAAGCTATCAAAGATCAAAGCTTGACGACTCATACAGCTCAAATCCTGCTCAGAATCAAAACAAAGAGGACCGTGATAGCTCGATTCAAGGCATCCTATTTCAACCACTTCAACTTCACACTTTCCTATCCTTCAACTTCTTCTACCACCTTCTGATCTTGGGAATCGATGGACGACTTATTTTCTTTGATTTCCTCCTGATCTGGAAGGGTTTTGACTTCCTCGACATCCTGCTCTTCATCAATATTCTCTGTTTCCAGATTCTCCTGTGCCTCTTCATAAAGTCGTTGTAATTGCCTTGTACTGGCTTCTCCTCAGCTTCTTCTTCCTCCTCTTCAGTCTCGACCTCTCCACTTCCAGGCTTGGACTTGTAATCACCATTATCCAGTAAGATCATAGCATGCTTGTTCGGACATTGATTCGCCACATGACCTCGACCTCGACACCTGTAGCACACAATAGAACTCGAACATGTGTTAGTAGCTGCCTTCTCTCTAGCATTAGTGGCAACCGACTTGGGCACTGGCTTAGGGTCCTCCTTCTTCTCAAATGGAGTCTGAGTTTCACTCGCAGGTGCACTTGTGGATGGTGTAATCCTCCTTGCATAGCCTCCCCTTTTCTGCTTCTCGACCTTAGTAGCCATCTGCACCAAATCCTCAATCTCCACGTAGTGGTGAATCTCTACGACCTGCTTGATCTCCTGATTGAGGCCATTGAGAAATCGAGCCATGGTTGCTTCTCGATCTTCATTGACACGAGCTCGAATCATCAATGTCTCCATCTCCTTGAAATAATCCTCTAT